GACCTGCTGATCTAGCAGTAGCCTGCAGTGCTGCATTTAACCACTGCGCCACCTTGGCATAATATTTTCCCAGCATCTAATTTCTACTTCTGTTATCCAAGCAGTTATAAAACAAATCCCACATTTGAAAATCTTCTGTATCTTCCTTCTCTTTAATCTTTAATGTCGGTCTATCCGTTTCTGTGCGATCTAATATTTTTTTTAATTACATCTTTTTCTCTCGGAGTTTCCTCATCTTTCCAAAAATATAATTCTTGCTGCTGTCAAGACATGCAATATTAAATACAAATTCCCTTTATTCATATTTTCCTGGGACTATCCCTAACAAGGATATTTCTATTTTATAATCCATGTGCAGCTTTAACATTTTTTTCCTAACAATGAATGTATTTTTAGCCAACAATTCTTTGCTTTCACACAAGTCCATCACAAGGACTGGGGGATTCTGGGAGTTGAAGTCCAGACATCTTCAAGTTGCCAAGGTTGAGAAACACTGTTATAATGCAATCAAAAAGGAGTATGAAACACAATTATAAATATAAAAATCAGTTTAAAAATACGGAAACTAAATAGAGAAAATGAGTAATTAGGTTTACGATGCAATTAAATAGGACTAGAAAACACAGTTACAAATATTAAAATAAAGTTACAATTACAGGAACGAGGGAAAGCGGGTAATTAGGCTTGGAATGCAATTAGATGGGAATATAAATATAAAAATCAATTAAAATTACAGGAAATTAAATAGAGATGATGATGATGATGATGATGATGATGGTGATGTTATCCATCCAGTTGGGTCCGGTTCTTGGCCGTTCTCCTGGCCAGGTGGTCTCATGACCTCTTCCAATCTTCTTGGGTCTGGCTGGGGTCAGCTTTGAGGGTGTCCATCCACCGTGCTCTTCGGTTTTAAATGGGGAGAAAGTGATAATTAGGCTAAGGGATTAGGAGGAGACTAATGGGGGCTTCCTTGGCTGTCTCCTTCCATAGCCAACCCCTGGTTGATGTCACTCAAAAGCCCAACAGCACCCACCTGGACCAATACCTCTACCATTTCCGGACCACCAACCTCGATCAGATGGTCCAGGCCGCCTTGAAGATGAAGCACGAAGACTCTGACCTACAGATGGTTTTGGATCAGGCAGAAGATTGGCTCTCTCGGTTAAAGTCCATGGTGGAGGAGGTACTGTATTTTTCAGAGTATAAGATGCTCCGAAGTATAAGACGCTCCTAGCTTTTGGGGAGGAAAACAAGGGGGGAAAATCTGCTTCTGCCTCCTAGCAATTTGCCTTCTTGAAACAAACAGCAAACAATACAGACAATATACACTGTTTGTGGTGTTACATTTCAGACTATACTTGTACAGATGCTGTTAAAATTGACGTGGCTTTCTGGAAGTATACATTATTCTCTGCTGTTTAAAAGGAGATACAACAGCACTGGGCCTCTTCAGACCAAGCGTTTATTTTAAAAAGCTTCTTCATTTTGTTAAGCTGCCTAGCACAAGAATAAAGCAGCCTTTAAAAAATAAGACTAATAATTTGAACATTCTACAGGCATTTATAGTTATTGACTGACCTCTTTACAGCAAACAGCCTGATTAGCACAAGAGAAAAAAAATCTGCTTCTGCCTCCCATTTGCCTCCTGCAGCAAACAGCAAGTTTCACTTTCAGTTTCTCAAGTTTCACTTTCAGTTTCTCAAGTTTCACTTTCGGTTTCCCAAGTTTCACTTTCAGTTTCTCCCGGTCATCAGCTGTTTCAGGCTGCAGGGATGGATATAGCCTATTGCAGCCTCTGCAAGGCCCCCGCCCCCCGGTCGGTTTGCTTCAAGGAGGTAAATTCCTGGGAGGCAGAGGCCAAAGGGTTGGGGCCGGAGGGTGGGTGGGGCTACATTCAGTGCATAAGATGTACCCACAATTTTCACCCTCTTTTAGGGGGGGGAAAGGTGCACCTTATACTCTGAAAAGTACCGTAGATGTAGTTCTCAACATGCAAAGAGGAACTGAGTTCTTCTGTCTCTTCTAAGCCACTGAGCCATTTCTTATATCTAGGGAAAGGGGTGCTAACATCATCATCTTCTTTTAACGACCCCATAATCCCTTGCCGGGTGGAGTCTGGGCAACTGAATGAAGCTAGCAGTGTGTTTACTGGCCGGATGCCCTTCCCTGTCACTAGTCTGGAGTTTTGTTTGGCAGATATATTCCTGTTGTGCCTAGAGAGAGAAATAGCTGCCTCTACTAGGATCGAACTCACGGCCTCCTGACTGTGAGGCGAGAGCTTGAGGAGTGGTCCTTCAACCTCTCCTTCCAAGTCATGGATAGGACCCGCACAAGATCCAGGAGAGCCCCCGTGGCCCTCCTCTCCATCCTCCCTTCCAAACCTTCTTGGAGATCATTTGGTAGCACGTCTCGTGTGTCACCATGCAGACAATCGGGGGTCCAACCCAAAGGGCATCCTCTAACCCAACTTTTTTGTTTATTGAGACCCTGATCTACTCTCTCCTTCGACCTACTCAGCTCACAGGGGGGGGGATCCCTCTGGCCAAAGGGGGCCTCTTCCTAAAGCCTGTTAACCCTTTCCTTGCCAGCCCCAGAACAGCCTCCCGGACGTCGTGATCTGGATGTTGCAAGGCGACCGGCGGGTGGCTTACGCCCGGCTGCCCGCCCGAGAGGTCCTCTTCTCCCGGAACGGAGCCAGCTGCTGTGGCAAAAACTGTGGGAGGCTCCAGACCATATTCCTGAAAGTAGGTTTACTTGGGGCAGGGTGGGATTTGGGTTTTTGAAGAGGGGTGGGGGTGGGGAGGATACAGGGGGTCAAAAGGTCAGGCGTGCTATCAAGTCCAGCAACTTCCCTTCTTTTGGGAGTTGTGGTCAGCAAACTCTTCTGGGCAAACAGTTGGGGCACTCGGGATGCCTAGCACGGAATGGAGTCATGTGGCTGACCTTGGCTTGTTTCATATTGATTGATTGATCAATTCATTGATTGATTGATTGATTGATTCATTCATTTATTTGTTGATTCATTGATTGATTGATTCATTGATCGATTGATTCATTGATTGATTGATTCATTTATTTGTTGATTGATTGATTCATTGATTGATTGATTCATTTATTTGTTGATTGATTGATTCATTCATTCGTTGATTGATTGATGCATTCATTTATTTGTTGATTGATTGATTCATTGATTGATTGATTGATTCATTCATTTATTTGTTGATTGATTGATTCATTGATTGATTGATTGATTCATTCATTCATTCATTCATTGATTCATTTATTTGTTGATTGATTGATTGATTCATTTATTTGTTGATTGATTGATTCATTCATTCATTTGTTCATCCATTTATTTATTTGCTGCCCATTTCACTCTGAAAAACGTCTTTTAGGTTCTGGCTGCCCTGGCGTAGGGCTCCTGGGACCAGCAAATGTATAAAAAGGCAAGACCTTTAGGCCCAATTCAACCATCCAAGATTTCGATTCCCCCGTTTCCCTGCCCTGAAATGACCTCCTTGTGACTGTCCTTGCAGCCTCTCCTGCTGGCTTAGTTGCTCTGATCATTTGGAAGAAGAATCAGAGTGAGACTAGAGCTGGGAGGAGGCAGCCCTATTCCATTCCAGACAAATGGTTGTCCAATCTCTTGTTAAAAACCTCCAGTGATGACGGAGCCCCCACAGCCTCTGAAGGGAAGGGCTGTTCCACGGGTTAATTGTCCTCCCTCTCCGGAAGTTTCTCCTCAATTCTAGGTTGCTTCTCTCCCTGATTAGTTTCCATCCGTTGCTTCTCCTCCCGCCTTCGGAAGCCCTGCCAGGTTGCTGACCCCCAATAGCTCTGAGCCTTCTTCTCTTACCCACCTCCCCAGTCTCCACAGGAAGAGGTGGCGGGTCCCAGGATCCCAGCCCAGATCCGGGTCCGGCTGTGGCTGGGCCTAGCGGTGGACGAGAAGGAGTTCAACCAGACGACCGAGGGGAGACTCTCTGTCTTTGCTGAAACGGTGAGCCAGATCTGATCTTCTCCCACGGGGATGGGATTGGGATGGGGAAGTTCTCCACAACTGGACGGCTGGTTCTTTTGGGGAGGGGGTGCCATGCAAGGGGAGAGGAGGACACACCCCTTTGCATTGGAACCAGAGGTGGGCAGAGACCTTCCCATTCAGAAACCCCAAAGGGCTTGAATGTTCATTTCCTCTTGCTCCAACTCTGCCCCGCTTTCTGTTGCTGTTTACACCTTTCTGCTTCTAGTCCTGTAGAGAGAAACTCCTCCTCCCCCTCCCTCCCCCTCCCTCGTCCTTCCTTTTTTTCTCCTCCTCCTTCTCCTCCTCTTCCTCCCCCTGCTCCCTCCCTCCTCCCTCCCTCCTCCTCTCCTCCTCTTTCTTCTTCTCTTTCTCTTTCTCTTTCTCCTTCTCCTTCTCCTTCTCCTTCTCCTTCTCCTTCTCCTTCTTCTTCTTCCTCCTCCTCTTCCTTCTCCTTCTTCTTCTTCTTCCTCCTCCTCTTCCTCCTCCTCCTCCTCTTCCTCCTCCTACTCCTCCTCTTCCTCTTCCTCTTCCTCTTCTTCTCTTTCTTCTTCTTCTTCTTCTTCTTCTTCTTCTTCTTCTTCTTCTTCTTCTTCTT